TCTAGAACCAGATGCTACACTTAACATCACAATAACTATGGGGAGGGGGTCAGGAAGGGAAAGCCAGTTAAATTGAGCACATGTTCAGAGTTCTCACGGCATTCTCGCAGAGTTGTTTAAGCACAGACTCTGGCAAACTTGTCGCAGACTTTCCCTTGAGTTAAATGTAAATAAAAAGTATATATAATATAATAATTTATTACTAATTGACAGCCCGAGGGAGATGAAACAACAATTCTGTCTTTGGCAACATTCTGGAACAGTCAGAATATCCTCAGAAATCTTTGGCAACATTCATAAAGTTGCTGAAACATTACATCAATTTAGTTCAGAATTCTTCAGCAGTATGAAGAAATATGTAGTTGGAACCTCTTTGAAAATCAAAAAAACTCTCACACACATATATGTAACTCAGGAAATCTTGGCAGGTATCCTAGGATGAAAATGTCACGGCAATTTTTCCCTTAGTTTATTTAATAATGTTTTTTCCTTGTCTTTTTTTTTAATATTTGAAGAATCACTTTTAGTGAAGGATCCTGTCTTTAGTAAAGAAGATGCTTATGTTTTGGACCGTAAGCATAGCTATGAGAGGGCCTTACAGAGAGGATTACGAATGGTTGAACTGATTAAGGAGCATCAGATTACTGATCCAGAAGAGGTTGTCATTTTGAAAAGGTGCTGGTTGGAGTGTACTTTTGTTACAGTGGTCTTTTAGGGGGGGATGGGGGTCTGACCTTAATGTTCAGTGGTGGGTGTTAAGTGGGCCAGGACAAGTGAATTATGTTGATGGCCACCAATCTACTTGAAACGGATGAATCTGTGGGTACATGTGTTCTGCTTGGACACTGAATCCTTTACTATATACTAATTATACACGTACTTAGGCCATGATCGACTTGCTTTTGCAACCCTATTCTAGACTTATGACTAGGTACCAAAAACCCCTACCTTATCCCAGACTAGCTATTTCAATGCAGAAGCTTTATCACTATTGTAGTCCAACATATGCTAACTAAACTAATATCTTACTACAAAATGACTCCAACTTTCGAAATTCTTTCTATTATAGAAAAGCAGGTAAAGAACCCTGTCCTAGACTAAATATACACTGGCCACTTTTGCAGTATTAAAAAATGCACCCTATTCTAGTCCAAACTGTCTGATTTCTATACCCAATGCCAGACTAAACTGCCTAGAAACCATGTACCCTTTAATTACAGTGCTCAGCACATACCCATATCTTTGGCAGATCTAGCGAGTTTAAGGGGTGCGGTCTAACCCCCTAAATTAAAAAAAAATGAGACACAATAACATGTTAACTTGGCCCAAGAGTGCTGTCAATCCCATTCCTGAGGACCTCAATTTTAATAATTTTCTGGGGGAGGATGCTCCCAGACTCCAGACCCTTTACTGGGAGGGTGGGGTGGATCTTATCTTCTCAAACCCCTTTCTCTAAAATCCTGTATCCACCTTAGCACATACA